TCTGAGGCATGACCTCAATTACAAATTAGTTCAAGGATAAAGAAATTACTGGGATTTAAACCAGTAATCTTGTCCAAAGCTAGCATTTAGTCTCTGGAAAGGAAAAAATCCCACTACTTCTGTGTCCATGTTGTGTATTTGTGCCTTGTATCTCAGGTATCCCAGGCTCCACTCTCAAACCATTAAAAATCCAGAGGAAACCCACCAGATAGACACTGCTATAAATAGCAGAAGAATCTGTTATCCACACCTCCGTATGTCTGGGAATGGTTTCATTCCTTGGTTGTTTTTAGATAATATATAGATGATACACGGACACTCCCAGTACCTGTCTCCAAGTTACCTGTGGGTACTGAAGCATCACGTAATGGCAACCTCTCAAAACCACAGAAACCTTTTTGTATTACCTTTTTCTGGGTGATAATCTGTTAGGTGTTAATCCAGTCACCCCACAGCGATGGATGTGAATTATGTTCCCAGAAAGCTGAGATTCCTTTTTCAACCTTTTGGATGGTTTGAGGAATACAAAGTAAATCTCATGAATGAATAGCTGTCAGAGAAGAAAAAAACCTTAAAATTTCAGGGGTGAAAGGGGAGGGAGGGAGGCAGGCACAGGAGCCGCCTCTGCTGCATCCCCCTGCCACGCTCCTCTGCTCCTTCTGCCCTTTTGCTTTGTGGTTTAGCCAATAGGGCCGGAAAAGGCTGGTTTCACCTTCCACATTTTTAATAATGCATAGTACCTTGCAAGTTCGACATAAGAGAAATAACACAGGTATCCAGCGAAAGCCAGGGCGACTGGCCGTACAGCGGAGCAGAGCTAATGGCTACTGCGCCCAGGGCTGTATTTGGGGGTAATTTCCTTGCAGGGTGGCTGGGATTAAATTCACCAATGCTCATCGTCCCTGAGGATGATTTATTTCCTTTCATCCTTCCAGCAGGGAGTACAAATGCAAAACTTTCAGCTGAGAGGTATTTTTCCAAATAAAATATCTTCAGCTGTGGCCATCGGTGATTTGGAAGCCCCTGCCAGTGAGATTTAGCCTTGAGCTGATTGCCATTGCTGAGCAGCTGAAGAGCAGCTGAAAGCTGGCCAGAAATGGCTTTTGATTTTTGCTTTTTTTTTTAAAAAAAAAAAACAAAACAAAAAAAAGCTTGCTTTCGGATGGGGACAGCAAGAAGGGAGAGGTTTTTTGTGATTATCCTTCTCTGCCTGAGAAGGGAGACTTCCCCTTGCGTGGGGGACTGACTTTGTAGTAATGAACAAGCAGAAAGCGGTTCCTGAAATGAGAGAAAGGTTTCCCTCGCGGCCCTGCCGGCTTGGAGTGCTGGTGGTACCTGCCATTCCTTCGTCCGAGCATTAATCAGCCCTTCACAGGCTGCCCTCCCTGCCTGCCAGAACTGGGGAGCTGGAGCAGCCCGGCTTGTTTCAGCTTTGTGTTTCTGCTAATATGAAAAATATAAACATGGAGTGGGCTGGTGGAACAAACAATAGCTGATTTACTTGGTTAATTTAAATAGCGTGTAGTGGGTAGCACAGGGAGGCTGCATCACTGCTCCAGCAATCATGCTGGGAGGGAGGTCTGCAGCGCCATTACGTGCTATTATTACTTTCTGGATAATGTATACGTTTTCACTATCACATAGTTTTTCTCCTTCATTTTTCATGGGAACTGGCACTAGATTAATGGTTAAGCCATGGAAGAAACGTAACGCCATGCCAGTCTGATTTATTGACCACTTAGTGCTGATGAAGCTGCAAACAAGAGTCAGACAGATGTTGCAGCTGCATTTTTCTTTATCAAAACTAACAGCTTTTTGTGGGTTTTTTTAACCACTTCTTGCACCGTCTCCTGCTTACAGCACCAGGGATACTGGAACAAACTCCACCACCACCCGAAGGAGACTCTGCTGAGGAGGCGGACTAGATGCCTCTGGTGCACTGTGCCAAGGAGACTTGCCCAGGTCAGGGACAGATGGCAGCAACTTTGACTCAGATGCACGGGAAGCAGGGAAGCAGAGCAGCTCTGCAGAGGCTCTGGGCATTGAAATTACGGGCGGCTTTCCGACGGGCGTGTTTCCAGATCCATCTGCAGACCAGTCCAGGGCTCCCTGTAGGACCTCCCTGCCGCCCAAGGGAAGGGCTTCTGCCGTGGCATGTCCAGTGTCCTGGCCTATTTCCCACATGGAAGTTACATTTGTAATTTTTCTTTTAGTCTTTCACATCTCTCTTTTTCTACTGGTAGGTCTCCACAAATAAATAGTGATTCTCTGCTGATTTAGAGTTTTCCAAAACATACATATTCTCTTAATTTGTGTCAAAACATTTGAGTTTACTAGGTAGATTGGCATTCATGAGACTTGCCAATCTGAGGTCAACTTTTAGATGTAGACATAAGGAACAAACCTGTTGGTTTTGTGTTTATTTTATATGCTTTTATATATAAAAAGTATAAATTCCAGTGCCAACCCACTGCTGAGGTCCACTTGCTTCTGCTGCAATGAAGCCAGGAAGCCTCGTCGTCCTGACTTGCCTATCAGGCACTATCAGGCTGTGAAAAATACAGTTTATCCGAAACAAAGGAAGAAGCGTCTACAGAACTGCCAAGTCGCCCAACGCCGTGGCAGCAGTGTGTCCTTGCTCTCTTCTTTGAAACTTCTCTGAGAGCAAGAGGTGTCTTTATACAAAATCTCTGAAGCATATTACTTTTTATTACTTCATCATGTAAATCACTAATTATGTTAAATTAGCTGATGGAGACTATTTGGGTATATAGGTAATCATTTTTATTATCTGAATCTTTTCTGAATTATGCATGAGGACCGTAATGTTTCAGACCTCCCCTTCATCGCCTCCCCGGTCCTGAGCAGCACCATCCGCTCATGTTGGAAGCGGCTCAGCCACCCAGTTAATTCCCTGGGAGCCCCAGCTGTCACCTCCGTCACCCTTAAAGGGTAAACAGGAAGGCTGAAAGGAAAACATGGCTCCGTTTTGCGTGGTGACCTTAGGATTTGCACTGCGGTGTGGAAAGAGAGGATACGGTGTTTTAATGTGTGCTTTTCTGGCTGTCTCTCACCTGGGGCAGAAGATGTGCCCTGTGAAACAGAAGGTTTTGAACGCATAAAAATTGAACATAAAAGGTCCAATTGTTTGTCTCCAGGAGAATCTCGGGAATAGAAGAGCCAGTGGTTTTCTTCGCTTTAGCACTTTCCAAAACTGCTCTGAAATAAGTTGTTCGCAGTTCTTTACTAGGTTTCCTTGCCTCTTCCCTGTGCAATACAACTCTTTTTAACACAGGCTGCAAGAATTTGATACTGCAATCTAGCAGAATCTTCACTGAAAATCCCCCACTTGCAGTTTTCCTCAATAGAGGGGGAAAAAATGCAAGTTCCTGCTTGCATGTCTTTCTAACTTAAAAGAGAGCTTCCTCTCTAGACAGAGGGATGCATCTGGATACCAGTGTGCAAGGGGATGCAGATGGAGGGAGGGCATGCTCTGTGGGGCTGCTATGCTTGTCCTGCTGCTGTACACAGTCACCATGTGAAGGGGTGGCCTTGCAGCTGCCAGCACTGTTTTGGCAAGCCTTGAGGAGCTGGGAGATGCAACCAGCTGCCCCCTCATCTCAGGGATGTGCAGGATGCTCCCCGCATGCAGGGCGCACAAGGGGGTGCATAGTCACCCCTGCACCCGGCAGCGGTGAATGCTACCCTGCTCCTGCCCCTGCTTCTGCCCAGGGCTGGCTCCAGGAGCAGCTGCCCGGCATGCCGTGCCTGGCCTCAGTGCTGTGTTTTGCTTGTCAAAAGTTACCTTCCACCGGTCTTTCCTTGGTGTGGGCATCCACGTACTGCTCCAGCCCTCTGCGGGTTTCATAAGCAAGTGCTCCCATTAGCACAACCTTTGAAAACGAATGATGGCTTATGTTCCCTCTCCCACTCAGAACAGGGCTCTAACAGCATTAATGAAACATTAGAGTTTTAATTACACCATTATCCTATTTATTTTTATAAATAATTCCAAAGCAGTCATTAAAGTTTGTGAACTTAGGAGTAAATGACTTCAGGGAAAGAAATCAGCTTCTCAATCTTGTTATTATCTATTGTACAATCTCCCTGGGATGCCATTGGGAAACTAGCAGAGTTGTTTCTGTTGCTGCTGTTAAGATGATTCATTTACTCGCAGGATGGTAACACACCGCTCAGCTCCCTACTTGAAATGCCTGTGTCAGTGGGACGGTGCTGCAGTGCGTCAAAGCAGTGTTGCATCCCCTCTCTCAGCCCCCGTAAGAAGGTGCACAGGGAGAGAGGGGAGCTTTAAACAGCCCTGTGGGAGCAAGCACCTTGCAATTGTTCTGCAGCAGTTCTGCAAAGGGCACGGTCTCTTCCAGTCCTGACCTTCTGCAGCTCACTGTTTTCATCGCGAAGCTGCAAGATCTTCAAAAGACAAGAAATTTCGGGCTTGTCTGAAAAGAGCCTGTCCTTGAGGCACTCTGTAATACTGTTTGTGAGCCTCCTTGGGTCTTCCCTCCCTCTTTCTGCCACTGTACGGAAAGCATGGCTGTTACTGATGTTCTCAGGTGTATTTCCGTATATTCGAAGTAGTCCGATGTGGACCAGAACTGATGAAAGCATTGGATCAAACAGACCACAGGTCCCTTAAACCAAAGCAAATTACCTGGTGTTTGTTGTGACTGATGGTTGCAGGACTCTTGCAAGTATTCGGTGTTGTATGGGTTGGAAAAAAGGTTCACCCTGAGCACGCAAGGGGAGCAGGAGAGTTGCAAGCAAAGGGCACTCGGGGTGGGGGGAAGCTGCATGCAAACTGTTGTGCCTCGTCTGTTGGCACCCCTTTTAAAGAACAGCTCTGATCTCAGGGAAATCTGGTACATGCTGGGATCTAATTATGATGCTTTCTGTCATAGTTTTAATTAGGAAGGCAAATGCAGAGAGCCCTGAGTGGAGGGAAGAGGTGCAACAACGTAACTTTTGCTCTGCTCTCCCCGCAGAACCCAGACATCGTGTTGGTGCACTACCTGAACGTCCCTGCCATCGAGGACTGCGGGAAACCATGCGGCCCCATCTTGTGCTCAATAAACACAGACAAAAAGGAATGGGCAAAGTGGACAAAAGAGGAACTCATCGGACAGCTCAAACCGATGTGTGAGTACCTGGAGGCTTTTTTGCTCTTTCACTTTACAAAGGGTTAATTCAGAGTATGATGTCTCTCGCTGCCACCAACCTTCCCTGCGAAGGAGTCATTTGTCACCATCAAACTCAACTTACATCTGCATGCACTTTCTTTCTTCCCAATATTCAATGCTTTCGGGATGCATAGTATGAGAGCTGCCCCGACTGTGCCCAAAAAGGTCATATCCCAAAGAAGGTCCCCTCCACGCACTGGGAAAAAATTGTACGTATGGTCTTGCGTTTTCAAGCACCGTTTGTAGGCACCTACTCGGTTGCAAAGAGCCTTTGCAGTATTGACAGGTAGGTTTCCCCCAAGGGCACTCCATGTTTGTGTGGTTGAGTGTCAGATCGGAATGGGTGGCTGTTGTTTACAGATGGACTCCGTGGAGCTGAGTGTTTCGGGGTGGGTATTGTTTACTACTGTTCTCAACTTTGCAGTCTAAAGAGGAGGCTGCTTAGATGCGCAGAGTGATCAGGGAAGTTTGCTTTGCAAACAGGCAGCTCTATGGAGTTCTCTGCATCCGCCCTGGACTATATTTTTTTTCACATTGCAGTTATATCCTATGTCTTCCTGTGGAGAACGTGTCCCAGTGTGCACACAAACATCTTTTTGCAATGAAAGAAAGTTCAGGTGTAACATGGGTCTGTAAGCAAGAGAAAATTAACTGCAGGAGCCACAATACCAAATCTAGGTGCTTGCATCCGAGTCAACAAATACCAGGTCTGCTTTTCTCCTTCACCCCTGCCTCCAGTCGGATGCTGATGTCATGCCCGGCTTTCCATAATTAGAGGTCATAGCCATGAAGTACATTCTGATATGTCTCAACCATCAGTGAAAGATCAGTCTCGCACTGACCACAGCATTAGTGATCTAAGTTTGCACTGCTCCTTTGTTGCATCTTGAGCTCTGCAGGCCCATGTATTCCTTTTCCACACAAAGTTGGAGGGCAGAAGACAAGCAGAGGAGCAGAGAGAAAATGACACATTTGCTAAACAGAATATTGCCCCTGGGACTGATAACCTTAGACAGAAATCCAAGATGTTGAAGGTGTAGCTGAGACTGGACAAGTACCTTAACATTAAACAGGAGGGGAAGTGGTAGCCTGTTAAAAAATCTGCAGTGCATCAAGAAAATTATGTGAAAACTACAATGAACTCGCCGTAAATTTAATAACACTTGGCTCTTTTATGTTTCAGGAGGGAAGAGTGAAATTCTGCACAATTATTCAGAGTATATATGCATGTACACATCTCTGTTTATGGATACATATCCTGGGAAACGCATCCTTAGAAATGTAGCTAAAATAAAAGCTTTAGATTCTGATCAGACTTCTGATCAGACCTAGAAAACAAAGAGAGCACAGATAACCGTGTTTGGGGAACACAGAGGGGCACTGCTCGCCAAGAAGCCATCAGATTTGGTTCCAGTATTGGGTGTGCCATGAAATTCTGGAGCCAAGCACATTAGTTTCATCACATTTTTGCATTAATCACATTCTTTCACAGACTTCACAGTTTGATTGCCTGATGTTTCCAAATTTCTCTGCCCTAAAGCAGATATGTCAATGACTTAATCAAAGCGTTGTGCGTGGTGCCACTGGTGAAGTGACAGTCTCACCCTTTTACCTGTTCCCTGTTGCAGTTCATCTAGTTTTATTCCTCTGGACTTGGAAGCTGTGTAAGTTTTTTGTTGAATCTTTTGTTTTCTTGGTTGCCATTTTTCATAAGAATTCACGTTTAAGGCAAGTTAGTGATGATACAGCTAGGGTGTGCATGGAGGTCCAAGGCCAAATGCTGTATCTGCAGGAAGGTTTTTGTATCCTGTTTCAGACACTGATGTCATTCAGAATTAGGAGAAGCTAATACTAGTTCTGCCTTTGGGGAAAATGCCTCCACCTGGTCAGAGGCTAGTGACAGTGTCCAGTTCTTGACTCACTGAGAACAAGTGCTGTTTGTTCAAGTCCTACTCAGCCTGGACTGGAGTCAGGTATTAAAGCTTTTGACGTCTTTCAGGTATTAAAGCTTTTATATCAGAATCTAGGACAGTAGAGAGTCAGTGGGGTGGCAGCCAAAGGCTGGGAGCATGTTGTCTTGGCCGTGTGTGCATGGAGAACTAAAAATGATGTGGCAGATGGCTGGCAGGGAGAGAGGCATCAGTCTGAGAGTCTGAGCCAGACAAATAAATCAAACTGGTTTTCCCAAAATGCAGAGAGACCCTGACTGGGATGAGCAGGGAGTTTGCTCACATTTCTTGCATGCATAATTCATTCAGCTCTCTCTTCCTTCCCCACGGCATCATCCCAAAGTCAGTCCAGGCTTCAGCAAGTGTTAGCAGGCATCCGGGACAGGCACAGGCTCCTGGTACCAGACTGCATCACCTCTGTGAGCAGAGCAGTGCGCTGAGGTCTGGGCTGCTGAGAGGTGGCTCCTCCCATCCTGGTCTTGAAGAAGACCTCTGCGAACCCAGAGCTTCTTGACTGGCTTCAGAGGTGTTTTTTCCTAATGCTGTGACTGTGCTTGCACTGGTGGTTATGGATGAAAAAATACCTTTTCAGGGTGGCCATACAGCTCTGAGAGCTTCACGGAAACACCATTAACTTCTTCTAACATAGCTGGTCTGTGAATGAATTAAGAGACTGAAATTAACCCATCTGAACATCTGTGAAAGGTAAATACTCACTGCAGATGCTCTAAGAATTTGGCGTTTTTTCAACATCTTCAACTGAGTTGAGACCATAAATAATTAATCAGCCTGACTTCAGTTTTCATGGCTTTGGATTTAGTTCCGAGATATATATATATATATACATATAAAA